GCATGGGCTGTAGGTCTTCAGCTGGGTTTGCGTAGGACATTGCCGTGAGATTCAGACCCTCAATTGGATTCTTTGGTCCTCTAGTACAGGGAAAGATTTCTTGTACTCTTCTGCATTTGACTCTTTAGGTGAATATTATAAAATAAGCCTATAAGTTAGGTGTCTTAACTCTATTCCCTTGGAAGCCCTGACTAAAACACATACTGGCAAAGCAATCAACAGCACACACTTAAGAATGTACACATGTAATGGAGTTCACTGACTCTTCCACTGTTTTATTAACATGTCTGCAGTAATGTTGCATTCCTTGTGTGGAATCGGTGCACATGCATCATAATTCCTTTTCCCATCTCCATTCCCTCTCCTCCCTCCATCTCTTGATCCCCTTCCTCACAGAGAAAAATCTATTTTCCTACATCCTATTATCCATCATTGACTCTTCTGCTTTACTATGTGTGACAGCTTGGAGACCTTATTCCTTTTAAGATGAACATCCTCCTTTTAAAACAAAGGTAAATACTGAAATCAAATGATCACGTTTAGAATTTTTTTTAGAAAGTATTTCTAAGAGGAGTTTAGCTTAACAACTACCAAAGACTAGGGACTCAATAGAAGGGGATAACTGTAATTCTTCTAATCAGATGGGCTACATTATGGAGCTCCATCTCTAGCTAAATGGCCCCCACAGGCTGTTTGTTGGAGTTCCATTCTCTCTTACATAGCTTTCTGCAAGTGTAACTTTAAAGCTGTTACCTTCTCTTCCACTGTTGTCAGGGTTATTTGCCTTTAGCAACCTCTTCCTGCTTTTAATTTGCTGCAGGCTGGGGATCACATAATCATAGCTGACAGATGTACTCAGAACTTGGGAGCTACTCTGAGGTGTCTCCTAGGCTTCAAAAAGTGTCTTCCCAGAATTAAACTTCAAAATGAACACATAATAGGCAGAATCATCTGCCAGATACAATGACGCTCAAGCCAGGAAGTTTCTATTGTAACCTAATCTGACTGAAGTCATAATAGCTACAGTATATTAGTGAGAGGACATTTGTTCAACAACAAAACACACAAAACCGTGAGGCAGATGGCCAATTGGGAAGGTTCCCAAAACCTGTCCAGGGAAACCTTAACACATGAGCTTGCAAGGATCAGGTCCCAGGAGCAGGACCTCGGAAGAAATGGACATGGGGAGCCGTAACCCAAAGGCATGCGTGCAGTAGGTGATTCCTACCATGCTGTGCCCCTCATTCTCATCTTCACTCAGTATTATTGGGCAACCACTCATGCAGCCCAGCCCCCCTCCTGCCCTTAGTCTTCATCCATCCTCACTAAGTCCCCTTCTAGTTGTGACTGGCCTCTCCAGCAGATCTCCCTGCAGGGAAATGACGCATTGGTCAAGAGCTATTCTAAGTGACAGGTCTGTTTCTTGTGGTGAATTAGTAAGTGGACATTAGATGTTACACGTCAGTCTCCTGAGCTCGGTGAAGGTGAGTATGGCTTCAAGAGATGAATGAATGATAGTGATTAAGTGACAAGTTATCTAAGCCTGAAAAAGTAACGCCAGGCCACGGCCAGGTAAGTTTACCCAGCTAGTAAGTCTCACCTTGCGATTTCCATGTTGGGATGACACTAAGTGGCACAGGGGGCTGTGTGACAATAGTACAGAGCATATCTAGGGCCAGAAGGACCTGGAACTGAAGGCTGATTTTTAGCATGCATTCTGGTTTCTCTTAAGCAAATTATTGAACCTCTCTGAGTCTCTTTATAAAACCTTGTCTATATAACTAGATAACAACAAAGTATGAGTTCTGCTTTAGCTAAGTATCTAAAAGCAAGCAGCTGTCCAAAGAGCTGTAAACGCCAACCTGGCTCCACACCCTCCAATCCTGCCCAGGAGAGGTGAGCACAGCATTCTTCACTGGACTCCTCCATCTACAGAAATCTCCTGCAAATGCAGCCTTTCCGCACTGTGCACTGACACACCTTGGAAAATTGTCTCCTTAGTAACTGCAGTTACAGCTCTAAGGAGCCACTTCTGTCACTCTCCTTATGGAGTATTTCTGTTTACTTTGAGCCAGCTGCTATGGCACCTCCCCACTCCTCAGCCAACACAGAGACATCGTGTTCCGCAAGGAGCCACCCTCTGAGACCAACTTGTTAATAACAAAACTACTCCAGGTTTTTGTGTTCTCTCATCCCTGAAACAAATATCCTTCAAGAGACGAATCAGACAGTGTTCAGAGACCAGGTTAGCCATCTTTATAGCACTCCAAAGAACAACACAACACACACACACAAAGTGGGTTCTCATATACATGTTTTTCTTGACCCAGTTAAATTTTTATTCAGTGAAAAAGTTGACATTGAGACAAAAATTATCTTAAAATTGTGCAACAATATAGTAAAATCTTTAGCAGAAATCAGTGACTTGGAAACTTACCAAGGCAATTGAAATTATAAATACCTAATTTCACTCTGGAAAGAAACAAATTTACAGTGTTTCACTTTAAATAAGAGCAGAACAGGCCTTTATTTTGCTGCAAATACTTTTGGCTTTGCCTAAGGTTTCTAACAATTCTGAACAAGAGTCTTTAAATGAGGAGTGACATGGAATATCTGAGGATAATGTTCCTTTTCGGCACTCACGCTCATTCCATCGGTGTTATTACACATGAAACTAATACCATTCTTGGGTTATTTCTTCACCTTGATGACTGAATTCATAATATGGCTGCTCAAAATTAGTGGGCAGAAGCATATATACAACCTGTCTTCCCTCAACCCATGTTCAGTGGTGGTTCTCCTGAAAACATCCTTCCTGTCCATGTACCCAACAGTCTGCACCTCTTTCCGTCTATTCCATATCTTAGTCTTGCATAGAAAGTAGTCTATATAAACTTAATGCACTAGCTTTTATTACACAAAAATTGTACCTGAAAGGCAGCACACACTCCATTTATGAAAAATAACCTAATAGGAATGTCAAAATACAATCCTAGTACAAGTGAAGATTCTGCACAGCGTTTTCAAGTCAATTCCGACAATCCCTAGGAGGATGAGATTCAATCTGGTCCCGGATCGCCTCTCTGAGCGGCCTCCCAACTCTGCTAAAGGGAGAGATTTGGGGAATTCACTGTGATTCCCTCAGTGGGAGGGCGGACAGCCAAACCTGCTGGGGTGGGCTTTGGGTCTTTAGGTGAGCAATGGAGATACAATCTGTAGGACAGTGGCAAGTAGGCACGTGTCTAAAGGCAGGACTCTTCAAGGAGGAGGGGGTCAGCTACAAGAGCTCGCCAGGCCATGGATCTCCCCAGCGCTCTGCCAAATGCCTACTGTGCAATGTGCAGGAAGCATAGCTGCATTCAGTGGGTGCATGATGGGCAGCAGGGCGTGTGCAGCAACACTCCCCAGCCTTCCCACAGATATTCCTAGTGAAACCCCAACAGACGGAATATCAGGAGCCCCTCTTCTGAAGTCAGAAGTTCCAAGCAGGTACCCAGCTTGCCAGGGCTGCCAGTAGCTACTGGAACGGCTTATCTGTCTGGAAATAGATGTGCCCCCTCTGGGGTCCCTGGAGGAGCTCTACTCTGTCGTGTCATCCACATGGACCCATGTGTCACAAAGTTCAAGGATGTTCAATAGCAAAAGGAGCAAAATCAGCTTCCAGAGAACATATACACACAGTCCCCGAGCCCACCAAATTTTAGTGGCCCGATGGTGGCCTACAGAGATATAGGCACCCTGTCAGATAAAACTGGGACAGAATAAAACCTTTGCCTGACAGTGTTAAGTTTCAAGGTGACACAGTACAAAAGCCCCTACTCTGCAAGCACCCAGGGGGTCCAAGTGGTCACAGTGAAGAGTTCTCCAGTCACCTTCAGAGACTGCACACAGGACTTGTTTTCCCTTGTGACTGTCACTCCAACCTCTGGACTCTTGAAGATGGTATAAGGAACATCAAAACCTCCACAACACTGTGTAGCAGGAAACAGGAGTGCGTGCTTCAAAAGTTCATAAAAATAGACAATTTACACATAACTGCATCTATCTGGCTTAGTCTTCGGGACCATAGCTCTTCTGCTTATATAAAATACTCTAGCCCTAAAGGGCTGCTTGTTCTCCAACAGCATAGTGGCATCTTCTGAGGAGGGGAGAAGGCCGGACTGTACAGTATTAAGCGCTGAGCGCCAGGAGGCACCGGAAACTAGAATTGGAGAGGCTCTGAAGTGTCTCACGCTGCTCTGTGAAAAGGCTTGCCTATGGTATCCTGGGAAATAACGCCTCAGAGCCTTTCTATCAGATTTACAGATGCCACCAAGAAGTTGGCAGAAGAAGAAAGAAGAAAATGGACTTTCTCATGGTTCAGTTAAATGATGTGCCTCCCATCAGGTTATTCATCTTTCAGCTACTTAAGGAGTTTATTAAAGCGGAGGTGGTGGCACATGGGGTTTTGAACAGAACTTCAAGACAAGATAAAACTGAAGTAAATTCCAGTCTGATGAAAGAAAAATTAAACAGGAAAGAGGAAAGAAGAGAAAATAAGCCAGGACAAGGCTCATCGGTCATTAACATGAGCTCCAGCCCTACTTATGGGACAAACTAAGGGAGTATAGGTCCAAATACTCCTCACCTAAAATATGTCTGTATAAATAAAAATTTTAAAAAGCTAAAACATTTAATTGGTTCTTTGTTTTCTAAACAATCCCTAGGTAGAATGAAACTATTGTACTACCCAAGAATGATATTTTTAGATAAAAAGAAGAAATACCAATGTTTGTGAGAAGATAACAGACCACATGGAGGGGAGATGGAGTTTCACAAAGCTTGCATATATAAAAGCTGGCGAGATAGCTCAGCAGACTAAGCGCCTGCTTAGGCAAGTGTAGGGACTGGGGTTCGATCCCCAGCACCACATGCCCCACCAGCCCCACCCCCAGGTGAGCTGAGCCAGCCACAGAGTTCGGGCATGGTGGCCCACATCTGTAATCCCAGCACTGGGGAGGTTGAAAACAGGAGGATCACTACGAGTCTGAGCTGCATAGTGAGACTCCGTACCAAATACATTTAAAAAAAAAAAGAAGACCCATACTTGGAGGCATGACTTTAGAAAATTCCTAGAGTTCACTGCATCTCAGCTGGGAGGAAAATCTGCACTGAGGCTGTTCATACACTTCAAGTGACAACAATGCTGGATAGACATCAATGCCAACACTAAGTCCACAGGAGGGGCGACAGTCCACAACGGATTCCATGCAACTTTCAAGTGACCATGATTTGAATGTAGGGATGACACTGTAACGCAGAGGAGGAAAAGAATAGATTGTTTCATGGTGAATAAACTGTAATGTTGCTGCTGCTGTGGACCGAAAGAAGTGACCAAACGCAGAGGGCCTCTGTCTCTGTAAATGTGTGCAGCAGTTTCTCAGTAGATTGGGTGGGGCATGGCTGAGGGACATGGAAGAAAAAAGCAAGAGAGAGAAGGCACTGACCCAATTCAAAATGCCTGCATATATCAGCGTGAATTTTTAAGGACAGCTCAGTGGCCACCTAGACCCAAATATAAAATTTTACATTTGACAGTCTTTAGTGGTAGTGAAAACAAACAAAGTATTTCACATGGAGAAAGTACATACTACATTTGCCAGTGTATCTGTCATGGCACAGATCTGGAACTCTCCTACAACCAGAGTAACTCTTTACAATGACAGCAATCCCAGTGTATAAGAAAGCAGCGTTGGCATTGGGTGGCTTTCATAGCTAGACCTTGTGGAGAGTCATTTACAGGAAGACCCAATCAATGAATAGAAGAGGAAGCTGTGGCTTGTAGGGCTTCCAGCGTTGCAGCTCCATTTACCTAACATCTAGCCATGATTCAGAGCTTTCTTATGCCAAAGACTGTTCTATGACATACAAGTGAATAAAATGGATTGTTTTTGGAATGGCAACAAAATGCTTCTGTTCCCCATCCCCTACCACTAGGGGCTAGAGGATCATAACATACATGATGACCACAAAAGGCTGGCCTTATAAAGAGTCCCAATAAATTAACAAAAAAATTAATAAAAGAACCTTTCCCCATTTTCATGTAAACTAAATCCAAACAAAATTTAAATTTGAACACACTTTCAAGGAGAAGGGATTCTACCCATCTCTCTCTCTTGAAGTTTTTATTAAATACATTTCTGCGTCTTAGAAAAATAAAAAGAATGGCCAATTTACTGAACCAAAATTATCTCACAGATTTAAAAGCATGCCCAGCAAGCACAGCCCTGTAAGACTACATTAATGTCAAATCAAAGCAATTTGGTTACTAAAATCAACCTGGTTTAAAGTTCACAGTTGATTACGACAAAGTTTATTCATTCCATTCTTTCTTTCTTTTTTTTTTTCTTTTTTTGTTTAGTTTAGTTTTTTGTCTTTGGCCCATATAAAAATAACATATTGCAACTCAAAGTGCATCTTTTAAAATAAACCATCAATTATCTTTATCAAATAAAATATTTACACCATTTGGTTTCTAGTGAAGAAAGCTCTTTCAGGCAATCACCATGGGTACATCATCTGAAAATCCAGTTATCATCGGAGCATCTTCATCATCTTCCCCTAGAAACAACAAGACAGGCCTTCATGAGTTCCTGCCACACTTCCCTCACCCCAGCCCCACAGATGTACCCATCTCCTACCTCTGTGGCTACTCTCTGCCAAGCCATACCACAGCCAGCCAGGTATAACAATCAAACCTGAAAATCAGCTCAGCTTCCTGTGCCACTCTTGGGTCACCTTCTTGTCATCAACAGGTGACCAAGCTTATTTCAAAGGTAGCTTAAACTTAGCCAAATCAAGCAAATCAAACTTGCAGGAAGAAGGATCTCATTAACTACCCAGAAGTCAAATGAATGATTTGGGTTCCCCAGTTTCAGTTATCTATACCCTACATGAGTTCAGTGAACTTTACTGTTTCCTTTGGATCTTGGAGGGGCTTAAGAATTTGGGGGGCATCTTCCCGAACTAAATGCTGTCCTTCTAGACCCTGTATAATCCTGTGGAACTGCTGGTCTACATTCAGGGATCAGTGCATAGTGCTGCAACAGGTCAACCCTTTTGTCCCCAACAGCAGGAAGCAAAGCCACCACCCCATTCATGTGAGGCAATCCAGGTACTTGGCGATTAAATAAGAAAATAAAGTAAGAAGAAAAAGTAATATCACATGATCAGTGACTGGGAATACATAAATGTCTTCTAAACAAGGGAAATACTAATTATAAGTAGTACACAGAAAAAGTCAATAACCAAAATCACGCTCAGCAGTTTGAATTTAGGGAAGCGTTTCCCACACCCACTTCATTATACTATGTGGTCTACTAGCTCTCTTAGTGTTTAGGAACTTCAGTGTGCAAAGATTTCTGAAAGAGATACAAAGATTTCCTTCTTTTTCTCACACTATGTGTTATCAACACATAAAGTGAGATTGGCTGGTGAGATGGCACCAGCAATTGGAAAGAGAAGGAACCAGATGGAAGGGCTTCTTCGCACAGAAGCCAATGAGGGAAGCATTATGTTTTTATCTTGACTAGATCTCCTGGGGTGTCAGACCTCTAGGTCTGGGAAAGGTGAGGTAGTTGTGAGGTGGACATCGCTGGGGATTTTTTTGGTTAATTTTGGAGTCCAAAACTCACAGCCCACCTACCTTGCCTATATGAGACAAGCTCCTAGCAGGACTGACCTGCTTCTGGGAGAAACCACACCGCTGAAGTAAATGTCATATTTTGATTTAGGAGTAAGTTAAAAGCCAGCTGGTTTCTTCTTATGTGGGGGATTCGCTAGTTAATAAATGTTTTCTCTCATGTCCAAAGATAAGCTGAAGCAAATCTTCCCTAACTAGGTCATTGATTTGCTGGGGTCCACCCTGGCAGGAAGAGCCAGCTTCCCCTGCCCACTTACCCAGGTCATCTCCTGAGGAGAAGATGGCTGAGCCCAGCCTAGAGCTGTAGTGGCTGTTGGCAAAAGCAGTAAAGCTGCTCTGCAGCCTCCGGTGCTTGGTGTATAGGATGGCAAACCCGACCCCCAGGCTCAGTAGTATCAGGAACAAGATGGGGACCACCACAGCAGCGACATCGGTTGACCTGGAAGCCTGGACTGCAGCCGTGTCTCCACCTGCCGAGGCAAGATCCCCACCAGTGAGCCTCCCACCGGCAGGCAGGAGAATGAGCCAGGAGATCCTTAAGGCCCCACCCACCAAAAAAGCCAGGAGTTAGAGACAGCTACCAAAGCTGCCTGATGCCTGAACGTTTCCTGCCTGCTTGCTCCGAGCTGATGGACCATGGGCCTTGAGCATGCAAATACGGTAATTACATCAGACGCCTAATCACTGCCTTGTTGGTTATTTAGATAATCTCTTGGAAGGGAGACCTTTGTTGGGGTATCAACATTGATTTCATTAGCATTATTACTTAAGACCACTTGCTTGCCTTCCATAAGAGGATGTGAAATCAGACCACTAATTAACGAGATTGCAATTATTTCCCCCTACTTGGCACCAAAGTCACTCTGAATTGCAATTACCTGAAGCTCCACTAAGTGATACAAACGAGATTCCTTTACTACAATACCAACTTAACAGCTCATGAAGTTTTACGAGGTCTTTTACTTAAGTGAAAAAGAGAGAAACGACCTTTCCATATACATTTAACATTTTTTAAAGCTCTCAGAAAAGCCATTTAGGTGTTTATAACCTAACAAAGATGTTGCCTTTCCATGGCCTTAAACCAATGCAGGCTTTGTGATGATTTACTTATTGATTTCTATCCCTGGGTACTCTTGGGTCAGAGGTATCCTCCACCTTGCATCCTATTCGGGTGGGGGCATCACTTTGGAAGGGGGTAGACTTTTCATATTCAAAATCCTGAGGCAAGTCTGAACATCAGGAAGAAAAACAGTCCTTAGGAATCAGATTATAGCAAAAGTAGTAGTGTGTAAGTTCTCCCACCAAAGTCTGTAGGCCTGGGCTTTCCCCTGGTGGAGTGGGCAGTGGTGGGGGGAAGGGGCAGATGGAGGGGGGCAAGGGACAGAAGCAAGACTTCTTCCTTTTGCAGAAAGCAACACAGCTACCCGAGAATTCATCCTCATGCAGAACTGAAGGGTTGGGCCAATTCCTGAAAGCCTAACCCAGCAATTCAATATTCATCCACTTTTATATTAATTATTTCCTGGCTGGAAAAAAAAATCTGGCAAAAATCTTACTTAATGGTTCCCCCCTAGTCCCAGTGTGTAGCAGTAAATGAAAGTGAAATGTGTGCTTGACAGAGGCACGTAAAGGCAGCAGGAGCGAGCACGCTCCTGACCAGCCTGGTTTCCTAAAGGCAGCTGGCAGGGGTCCTTACAACAGGTATTTTTTTGGCTAAGAATACATCACAGGTTGCTGACTGGTTTTGCTTAAAACAGAATGCAAGGAAGGAAGGAACCACTAGGTTATTAAGAGTTGTGCTTTTGGGTTCTTTTGGGACCTTTTGGGGGTTTTCCAGTATGCACGCTTCTCCAAAGGAAAATGGAAGACAAGGTTTCCCTCTTTTAGGAGGATAAGTATCCTGCAAGATAGCACCCCAGAAGGCACTATGTGAGGAAACATGTAACAACTCTCACACAAGACTCTGGCTTTAGCCTTTCTGCCTACGAGTAAATGCAATTATCAAGACCAGTGGCAGGACATCTGTGGAAACCCTAGCCAACCTACTACAACATAAGAAGACCTTACAGGTAAACACAGGCCCAACTGGGTGACCCAACACTGATCCCTAGGGTTGTCCCAAGACAGAGATCTCAGGCCACACCCAGTCCTATCTGCAGCTGGCAGCTCAGTTGGTCGGTAGCACAATGCCGTTGGCTACTCCACAGTAAGGAGACGTGCTTCAGGGGCCCTGAGAAATCTAAAAGCAAGTAACAAAACTCTTATTCCACTAACATTTCTCATGTAGATCCTCCACTTCAAACAGAACCTTCCCTGTCTTACAGTTTATATTCAGTATAAAGTGTAAACTTGGCTCCTCATGCTATACCTGGTTCAAAAGGTATTTATCTATTTACATGATCAGTACCTAATGCTGCCAATACAGAAGTGCTTTTCTTCTGAGCTAAGAGCAGATTTGAAAACATGGTGGAGTGAGACACACCTTCCTGAGACCCCACTGTATCCCTGCTATTTCCCTAGGTGGAGGACAGAAGCTGGCGGCCACCGTGTCTTACCAGACCCCAGCTCATCGAACAGCAGGACGGCGGGCTCCCCACAGATCTGGCTGCCAAAGAGGCACCGCGCTTGGACGGTGAAGGTGTAATTGTGGCCTATCTTCAGGTTGGAAATTTTAAAGAAATTATCAGTAGTATTCCCAAGGTAAGCTGTGATATTCTTGGCACTATCGAACATGTGTATCTCGTAGCCCTGGAAGAAACACACAGGAGATTTCTCAGGAAGTCTGGTACCAGTTCCACCCATACGTGAGCTTCTTCCCGCAGGCTTCCATAGAGGATGAAGCACCCTGGCTTTCTCATTAGTTCTTTTTATATGACCACTGTGATACTGGATTGAGGCCTACAAAAGAGGAATCTTTTTCACCCTAGGGTCTCAAAACTATTTTTCCTATCTAGGAGCTGCAGCATAGAAACAAAAGCACAGCCTCAAGGAAAGCTACTTCAACAAACACATGGAGAAAGGCACTCTGCTGTCCCTCCTTTCAAACAATAATACATTCTGCAAAGAACCTGACCATGCCAGCTACAGCTAACACTGTAGAATCCAACTAATAATAAATTCTTGCCACAGTGGCCTCTGGCAATGCACTAAGAGGAAGGACTTCAAATTAGAAAAGATCACAAGTTTCTCTTTAGAAGAGTAAGAAGGCTACTGTCACCCTGCTTCCTGTCTCCTTGCTTCTAGCGCTTCCTAAGTTGATCCCAACCATGATCATCTTGGCCCTGACATACGAGGGACTTTAACAGGCCCAGGAACCTATTCACTACAGGACAGGGTAAAATCATATTGCCAGACTCACAGAGAGTCCTGGACTGTGTTGGAAAAAGTTGTCCGGCGACAGCGCTGACCCAGGCTGCTGGCTGGGATTAGGATGATCAGCGGGGTCAGGATGACCAGTGGATTTGCTTGCTTAGCTCCGAGCATTCTAGTGCCAAAGCTACCAACACTCAGTGCAGGCGCCACCCTCTCCTCTCCCAAAATGCTGCACTGTGCTCACACACAAGCCTGGTCACTTGGTCCCAAATCCACTAACTTCTTCCTTTTTTCTTAACCCCAAGGCACATGAAAAGATGAGCATGCTGCATCTATGCCATAACCCTCCATTAGGAATAGAATGACCCCAGCCTAGAAGCTGAGCTTCCAATGCCTAGGAAGGCCTTCCTAACAGGTGGCTGCTAGACTGGGCTTTGCAACACCTACCTGGCATCCTACTCCTGTATTTTTTTTTCACAAAGCAGCAATTATTTACTATCTCATAGATATTCAGTGTAGAAATTGGCAAGCTACAAAAAGGTATAAAAAAGCTAAATGAAATTACATGCCCAAACACGACCCTCTTGTATTTCAACAGATCTCTCTGGCTGTGCATTTGAGGTGTTTCCTCTTTTCAGTGTCATCATTCGTGTATATGAATCTTCTATGTGCTCTGCTTCTTTACAGTAAAATCCTAGACATGCTGGCTCAAGAAGCATAAGCATGTTCAAGGTTTCTGATTTGTCGCAACCATGGAGCCCCTCCAAAGGTTGAGACAAATTATGCCCAGAGAATGCTAAGCTCCCCAAGCTCACACTGGTAACAGTCCTCCTCCATATCTTTGCTGCTTGGATTCCCAGTAAGGTCAAACCTTTCCCCTTAGGTCACCACTGCTAGACATTTTTACTTTGCCACTCATATGTTTTTCAAAATTGGAATACTTCTGCTTTGAATTGACTTTATTTATTTATCTACTTAAATTTTTTATTTATTTTGGTATAGGGTCTCACTGTGCAGCTCGGACTTGTAGTGATCCTCCTGTCTCAGCCTCTCCAGCACTGGGGTTACAAGCGTGCACCACCATGCCCAGTTTTGGTGGCCATCATGGTGCACCCTAGGCCTTGGGGCCAGCACGGCATATGGTACTGGGGATCAAATCTTGGTCTTTGTGCTTGCCAGGCAGGTGCTTAGACCCCTGACCTAGCCCTCCAGCCCTGAATTGACTTTAAAGCATTCTTTTTGTTTAAGAATATTAACCATTCTGATATCATAGTTGTGAGAGTTGTATGAGTTCTCCAGAGTGGTGCGACCTTTCAAATTTAAACTAGGCTTTGCTTCAGGCATTAGCCTGTCCGTGGAAGACCCTGTGACTCTTTACCACAAAGCCACACCAGAGTCACCGTGTCCTAACTGAGCTCCTTCTCTGCCATCAGTGGAACGAATCCAGCTCCATTCAAGAATGTGTTCACTATGGTGTGGCAAACCTCCCAGGCCTCACCGTCCCTTCCCCAACTCCGTTGTGAATGCAGTGTTGGCTCACAAGACAAAACAACACAAAACAAAGATGCTCCTTAGGCACAGAGAATCCTCAAGTTCTTCTGTACTCTCTAAGTATTTCTCTAGAAAGGAAAGGATGAGATACAAGGATGAATGTGTAGCTCAGCTCCCCAGCGGTGTGGGCAGTCAGAGGGCCTGGGAAAGGTGGGACCTTGGCTCAGATGCTAAGCCCCTGCCTCACTCCAGGAAGCACAGCCAGCATTCCAGCCCATTTCCCTTTCTGCCTGGAAGAAAGTACAGGACTGAAAAGTGCTTAGTGAAGAGATTCTCATCTTTAATGGGCAGTATAAACATCCCACTAATTAGCAATCCCACAGAAAGTAGTCCTTTAATTCTCCAGTTCACTTCCATGCCCTACTCTTGTTTTTTTTTTTTTTTTTTTTTTTTTTTTTTTTTTACACTATCTCTGCCAGCATGCTGTTAACGAGCTCATCTCTGAAATAGCATTTCGATTAGATTTCCAGAGTCACTGACAATGGAGGATCTTACCCTGCTTTCATTAAAATGCTTTTCCTTTAAAGCAAGACTTTTCCAAAACAGAAGAACGTGGTCATTTTCCGTTATAATTTTTAAGGCATCAGGTGCTGATAATGACACTAAAAATCAAAGATGAGACAGGATGCATTAGTGGATGTCCAAATGAAGAAATAAAATGTACTGCTTAGGGTGGACTCTAGATACCTTCTGACTGGCAGCCATTTGTTGTAAATTTGACTAGCATCTAATGCAATAGCAGCCCTTAAACCCAAGGATGGACAAAAACAGATGAAGCAAGAAGGTGGCACGAAAGGAATGGGGTATAGTAGGGGTCTGCTTGAACCCTGGGCACTGGAACAATGCCAGAGCAAATGACTCAGGCCCACTGCTCACACTGCCGATCTAACGAGGGCTGGGAGTCCTCATTTTCTGCTGCTGACAACTAAGTTTCTCCTCACTTTGTGACCTTGACACTAAACACCCTTTAATCCACAGCCTATTCATTGGTCTCCCTCCATTTCTGCATGTTGGATTGCCACAATGAAGCCCTGTGCCTAGCCCAGGTCTTCAGATACCATGCTCTGTCTTGGTGGTAAATACCACTTCTATTTTCTAACTCTTGGGCAGTCCTCCTCTTTTCCCCCTAGTGATGTCAGAACAAGCTAGGAAAAAGAACAAAACAGAGAGCCAGTCCCCAGCCCACTGTGCCTTGGCCACTTCCTTGCAGCCTGGACATGGGAGCCCTGCTCCACTGCTCTGGCACAGCACAGAGACGCAAGGGCAGCACCGGCAGACCCCAGGCAACCCCCGATGGAAAGTCACTGTCTCCAAGGCCAGCAGGGCCATAAGTGCTCAGCTGTGAGAAGGGCTCCGTGTTCTCCGCTGCTCACCTGTGGTAATTTTTATGCTGGAATCTTTGCTCATGTTCCCTAGTTGGACAATGACGTGGTATTTCCCTCCGGGCTCCAACTTGCTAATGGTGTATTCCACAGTACTGTTGCGGGATTTAACTTTGTAGCTCCGGTCAGTCTTTCTAATAAGATCTTTAACTGCAATTGCATAGAACTGGGAGAAAACAAAATGCAATATCTGAGTGGTAATCAGAAACTTGGTGTTCTTTGCTCTTCATAGTTCAAAGCCAGAAAATGTAGCACAAATACAGTCCTCCTTCTATATCTATAGGAGACTTGATTCTAGGAACCCTGTGAATACTAAGTGCCTCATATAAAAAGGTGTAGTAGTACCAGATAAAACACACATATCCTCCTGCATTCTTTATCTCTATATTAATGGGAACAGCTAATATAATGTAAATGCTATGTAAGTAGCTATAATACTGTATTCTTTAGGGAATAACAACAAGACAAATAGCAGTATATGTTCAACATAGACACAATTCCTTTTTCAAATATTTTCAACCATAATTGATTGAGTCTGCAGATACACAGGGCCAACTATTATATAACAGTGACTGAGATCCTCAACCACAATAGTCCACAATTTGATTCTGTTGTTCAGAAAGCCTTTGGAATAAACAGGGCCAGCCTTATAAGTACGTGCATGGAGAACTGCACATAGAATCATCAACTAGACCGAAAAATGAAAGAGAGAGAGAGAGAGAGAGAGAGAGAGAGAGAGAGAGAGAGAGAGAGAGAGAGAGAGAGACTCTAACTCTAGGGTGAGCCACGTTATTGTGGCATCAGAAGCGGGGCTGGAGAAAGCAAGAACATCCAAGTCTAGTACTCAACTTCTGTATCGCCACCACTGCCTGTTCACAGCTCCCATCAGTGGAGAGATAACAAATTACAGTGTTCAATTCTAGAGGACAGATGCTATGCTGAATGGCTCTAGGGTGCTTCCTACATAGCATGTGGGCAGGGAAAATATAAGGCACATCAAAGAAGCCCAAGAAACTCATCAGGAAGCAGCTCAGAGCTAAGAGGAGCCTTCACAGATGAGCATTTTATGCCAACCACTGCTAGGATGGAGGGGAGAGGAGTGGGTGCAGGGGTGAAAGCAGCCCAGAGGAAGGGGAACTGGATGCTGTTTTCCAAGATCAATGCCTCTTCTTTCACCTGGGGCCAGCAAACATTCTTTTTAAAATAATTTTATTGAGAAACAAATAGCAGTGAGATAGTTTCAAAACCAATTAGTAGGACAGTTTCAATAATTAATACATTGCATATTGTTGTCTTAGTGGTTATTCTTTGTACAAGATGCAGAAGTGATATCCTGTCCACAAATACTATTAGAACAAATCTTTCTATTCACTGAATTAAGAGAATGTAGCAACAGTTAGGTATATCTAACCTAACTGTTTTGAATATACAGATACGAAATGGTTGTTCATTTGTATCCCCTTTTTTTTGTTTAGCTTTGTCAGAGAAGGGTATTCCATTGTCATTTAAGTATTATAGGTGCATGAATTCAGCAAAATATTCCAGTATAGTTTGGTAGTCCATACTAGTAAAAGGTTCGACATCTGTCCCCTACCACAACTACTGAACTCTGCTGCCTGCAGCATAGAAGCAAACGCAGATTATATATACATAAATGGGTATCACTTAGATGCATCTTTATTTGCAAAAAATAAATAAATAAACAGATGGGCTGAATTTGTCCTACTGGCATTTGTTTGATGACCTCTGTTTCAGAAGGTTAAGGTGTAGGACATGAATGTTAAAGAAGGAAGGAGAACCCAATATGACAACTGGGAATCACCAAAGAGTACCACCTAAAAAGGGGTACCTATCCAGAGCCTATACCACCCTTGGTAGAAATGAGAAAGACCTGCCGAGCTGCCCCATGAAGCCTGTATTTGCTGTTCCATTATCGGGCCACCTTCCACGCCATGCCACCTTAGGCATGCTAAGAATAAGCAAGACCACCTGGGTGCCAGGGTGTCCAGCCTGCTTACCAGATCCTGGTCAGGAGAGTCATATGGAGATTCCCACTTGATGACTGCTGAGGTTTTGCCTGTGTGAACTGCGTGAAGGTGACGGGGTGGAAGCCTGCTGTCCGGGATCATCTTCACCACAACGTAGTCAGAGGACGGCCCTTGGTAGGGAACCAACACCCGGACCTAGGATCCAAGCACATGCACCAGGTGGGCAGGAGCACAGTTTCACACAATCTTCACCAAACTATTTTTCAACAAAATCATGACCCATATATACAATTAAAGTTCAATCAGTATCAAAGATATAAAATAGGTGCCTCCATCCCAGACCACTGCTAACAGAGTTTTACACTTCCTTCTAGAAATGTCCCTGGAGATATAGCTCGTAATTATATCTCAGATTCTCTTACATGTGCAAGTGTTACCCAACAGAAGTCCCCAAAATGTCCAAGGCATATATAAGAACAGATACATTTATACATATAAATTCACTCTTATATGTAAGTATATATGCATATATGGATAGCCTATTGTTCTTAATTTTACATAATCAAAAGAAAACAGTACACATACTATGTTCTTCACTCCTTACACTTAATAATACAATTTAAAGATTTTTTTCACATCAGTATATATAAAATAATATTGCTTTTGAATGGTTGCCCATATTCATATTCATGAATATGCATAATATTTTAAATCACTCTTTTGCTTGAGGAACGCTTAAGTTACTTCGAATCTTTGGCTATCACAGGTAATAATAGATGGCACATCTTTTTACACATAGCTTGGTAAACATGTAAAAATACATAGTGGAATTTGAGAAACACTCTTGATTTGTCTGTATCTATTATCCATCCCCCACGGTGGACTGCAGTGAATTAAGTGTCTGTGATATGTACGACAGAGAAGAGATTTCTGCCCACATACACCAACCAGTGGAATTCAGGCGTCCAGTGCTCCAGGATGTAAGACAGCCCTTAAAGAGGAGACACTCTTCCTGCCTTGCTGGTACAGAAACTTACCAGAAACAAATACTGCTCATCTTTACTGACAACGACTGTCTGGTTGTGGAGTGAAGTAGTTACACTCTTTGGGTTCCGATAGAGGTCAAGAAAGGATGTGGCATAGAAAATACCATAAACCTGGTAAAAGCAAGGAATGGAAAAGGATAACAGGGCATGGGTCAATGCCTTCATTTTCTTAAAATCCCTAATTTCAATGGGGTGCTGTAGGCAGATGCCATCCAGTGGAAACACAGACTCCTAAACACATGGCAGTGTGTGCTCAGCCACTTTATTTGCCAGATCTGCTACCCTGCAACCTCTGGTTTTTCTTCAATGTTAAAATGACCATGAAGGAAGGCTGGTGAGATAGCTCAGTGGACTAAGTGCTTGCTTAGGCAAACTCAGAAACTGGGGTTTGATCCCTGGCACCACATGCTATGTGAGCACACTAGGCTTGTCATGGAGACCGGGCATGGTGCACGCCTGTAATTACAGCGCTGGGGAGGTTGAAAACAGGAGGATCGTTGTGAGTCCAAGCTGTGCAGTGAGACAGTACCAAATACACTGAAAAAAAAAATGACTGTGAAGAGTAAATGTTTTAGGTATACTCAGGACATCAAAGCAGTCACTACAGTGCAACTAAAGATGTTTATAAAGGAGAACTTTAAGAGCTGCTCAAGAAAGTGGCAAGAATGCCAAACCTGAGATGTCAGGCACCTCTAGAAGGTCATTCAGAACTGACAGGGGTGACTTGTGTTTGGGTTGAGAAGGGAAGACACAGCAGCAGAGAAGGGAGCCCTGTAGTGGCTCTGTACAGAGGGGGCTGGGGTGGGCCCATACTCACTCTGGGCTGGTCATTCTGACCACTCACCACATTCTTGGGGCCGGTCCAGGTGCATTCCACTGCAGTCTGGTTGACCGCTTTGGCTTTGAGGCTAGGAGCTGGTGGGCGAACTCCTCGGGTCATGACATGCTCAAATGCCAGAGGACTATCCCCTAAATCAGTCTTGGCCCAGGCAGAAATCTCATAGGAGGTATGAGCTGTCAGATTGTCCACTGTGAAAATGAGGACAATGGACACCAGGAGGAAGTTGGGGTTGTGGATGAAGAATCTGTATCACTACAGACACCCAGCCAAAATGCAGTAATCACTCATAATCTGAGTCCTAAATGCTGTAGGACTTTATCAATTTACAATTTACACGTTTGTTTAACATTTATTCACTGATGACTTCATACACGCAGCATGTCTCCTGGGCACTGGGTAACTTCCCTTAAAGCTGACCATCTGGGGAGAAATCTGTCCAATCCTCCTGGGCAGCCATTTGGCACTGGGTTAGAAGAACCTTGAAAAAAAATCACACCGTTCTGCTCAGCTGTCCCATGAAATCAGAGAGGGACTTAAAAATCTGTGGGCAAAGATCTGTGTCTCAGTATATACTCCAGTGGGAGAAAGAACACCGTCATGACCTGGGTTTCTGGCAATGGGGTAACAAGTGAGCCCTGGACAGTCCACTGAGTATTACACAGCCACTAAATCTTGCTCCAAAGAATATTTAATGATATGGGAAAATTCTCACAATTTTATAATCAGTGAAAAGGCAAGGACACAACACTATAGGTACTATTCTCATTTTTAAAAAAAGATCTAAAAAGATTAACACATAGAAAAATTTATGGGCAGTATCTAAAATGCAAAAGTGAAATTATAGAAAATTTTAATAGTCACTATACTTTTTATCTTCTAAATTTTCTGAAATATGAGGACTCTTTCTAACCGAGGGATTAAAGCCAAACAGAGCAGAGGGTATGTCAGAAGACAGCCTTGGAAATCAGCAGGATTGGAGTAGGGGCTCAAGCTGTGCCGTGCAGTTACATGACCTTGGTCAAGTATTTACGTGCTCTGTTTCCTTGTTTGTAAAGTGGAAAGAAATAACAGCCCTCACAGCAGCTGGTTGTTGCAGGGATTAAGGAGGAAACTGCTCTTAAAGTGCCTGGCACAGTGCCTAACACAAAGCTAGTCCTTCACAGGCCTCAGGCAACAGCTAGCAAGCCTCTGCCAGCTGTAGGAGTAGGGCAGTGAAGCAACAGGATCACAGGTCGTGGAACTGGAAGACGTGGTTCCAATTGTGGTTCTGCCACCCTCAAAGGGAACCACCTATTCCCCAAACCTGGGTTTTGCCTCTGTGGAATAAGCAGAGCTCATAGTATTATTAGGATTATGTAGAATAATAATCCCAACAAGTCAGGAATATCTAGGTAAGTGACTGCTCACACCCTCATATGACTCCTTAAATGGCAAATTACTGAAATTGGTAAACCTTCAATTTAATAATATGATAATGATAATAATAATAATAGATTTGTGCATCCTATTTCACAAAGAACATATGAAAAGATGATGGAAATAATTTGCAAACAGGCTGGAAGAAGAGGAAAAGAGGAAGATCCCATGCCATTCTCAACATTCAGAGGCAGCTCTGGGGAATGAAAGTTTTGTCTTAGAAATAAATTAAAATCTGCCCATTAGCCCACTTTCAGACAGAAGACCTAAGGCTTTTCTCCTGCTCAGACAACAGAGGAGTTGGACTGCTGCCTTCTGCATTTGCTTGGTCCATTCATCCATCAATAAACACTTACTGAAGACCAACCATGAACCAGGCTAGAAAAGAACCCTGATTAAATCTAGAAACTTCTTTGTGTGGAGCATAAAGATCATCTGGAAGAGTTAAACTAGTCTCTTTCCAGTTCTTCCTCCTCTGTAACCCCGAACTTCCATGAAGGTAGCATGGGGTTTACAGAGACAGCAAGCAAAGGCTTTCCTACCAAGCCAGGAGAACACTGACCGTATCCTCAATAGAGAAGAACCTATCTGCTTCCAGAGAAGCTGCTCCCTTTCCTAGACATTCAAAACAAGCTCTACTGCCATGAAAGCCTTGATCCAGCCTTACTCCTTCCCCTTCACCCCAACTAGCCTCGGGTATTACCTTTGTGTGACAATGTGCTCCCACGGAAACTCAAGGTTCTCTTCTCTTGTTTGTGGGTGTCAAATGCCCAGAAGAGGTTCACCATATAGCCATTTACCTGCCAAGAACCAGAGAACATAAGACAGGCGAGCTAACACAGTCAGAGGGCATGTCAAATACAACAGGCAGAATCAAGACATAGCTCTTCTGTTTCTTTAGGAATCTCAGTTCTTATAATGGTCAAATGGCTTCTTCTGAGTTTTTCAGCAAATTCTATTTATGCTACTATTAAAAAACATTTAGTTAGCAGACAGAGATGTAGCTCAGTGATAAAGTACTTGTCTAGCATGCATGAAGCCCTGGATTTGATCTCCAGGACCACAAATAGGAATGATATTTAGTTAGGTTCTATATACTTCTGAAGATAAACATGAAATCATTTATAAAATACATCCAAGGAAACCAAAAAATCAATGCAGCATAAAAGGATAAGAACCAAGAATTAAAGGTAGAAATAGGAAAAGTTGAGAGGATAATCATGCTATGGTAACTAAGGGTCAGTCTCAGTTCAGGCTGTTCTTGAAGTCAAGGTCAAAAGGTCAGTAACAATGTGGGATGGTGAAAGTTCACCATCTAATATGAGTAAATATATCCATGCACCAGGAAAGACTGCCTTCATTGAATCCTGAGCTCTTGGTAGGCTTTGATCTAAAGATCTTTAAGTGTGAGGCTAAAAAAAGAAAAGTTTGCAAGACAAAAGACAAGGATTTTATAAAGGCTATCTCTCATAATGGCCCTCCATGAAGCCAAAAACATGATATTAAATTGTAGTTAAGTAGATCGCACAAGGATTCCAGAGGCTTCTTGGAGGGAGAAACCTCTCAGTTAGGGAGGTTTCTCCCTCCAAGAACCACCTCACAGATAGAGAGGAGGAGCAAACAGGCATGAAAACCCACTATAGAAAGCGGAGCTCCACTGAGATACCTCAGGGAAACAGCTAACTGTGGTGGAATCTGTGTGTAGAAGTACCAAGCCCAACATCCAGTGGTAGTAGAAGGGAATGAGTTGGGAGCTACACAAGATAAATATGTTTCCAACACATGGACTCTCACAAAAGGGTTGCTCTTCCATTGTGAGAACCTCTGCATTAGTACTTAGCACCAGGAAATCCAATAAAGCTGAAAATTACAGGGCATCCATATTCTTTTAACACCAACTCTTTATTTGCACTGTAGCTGTGAACCATTTAATTATATGGTTAAAGAAAAAAGGCACCAGGCTGAGGCAGAGTAATTATGTATAGAGACTCAAGTTGTTCTTCATGGGGGAAGGAACAAACCTAGTTCTGGTATTGTCGCTCCTCTAGATCAAGACATTGATTTTTTTTTTTTCCTAATCTTACCATACAAAGTCTTATCTGTCCCCATACAAAACAAAGCCCCACCCAACTGCTAGTTTGAAATTACATTACCTTGATATCACCATCCATGGTCAGGGTGAAGCTTAGAGAATTTTCATCATAGCCATCAATGTGGATATCTGGTGGTGGAATCACTAAAGACAAACAAGCAATTCAAAGAGAGAAACCACGGGGTGAAAAGTGAGGAAGGCAGGACTTCACTGAGCTCAACTCAACAGACAAAGCCATCTTTCAGCTGGGGAAGAAAAGGCACTTCTTTGGCTGCCTTTAATGTCTATCTCTTTACTGCTGTTTTCCTGAAGCCTGCTTGGTGAACGCAGAGCAACCCTGGCTCAGTCAGCCAGCCCGGCCAGTAGGTAAGGCAGGGAAGTTTCATTAAGTAAGTGAACCCAAATAACCCAGCTTCAGTGTGGTTCTCAAAGGTACAGAGATCTCTGGAAACTTCATCTTTATTGATACTAACAAAGTCCCAGTGTCTCAAGACCTTTTAATAGCATGACAATAGGATGAATCACAAATTATCCATACATGTATGGCTTAATTGCAAAAGCACAACCTCTGGAATCAGGCAGACTTGAGTTCAGATTCCTGACACCTAACAGCCATGTAACCCAGGGCAACTTACTTATCTTCATCCAGCTTAGAGATATTCATCTCTTCACTTCAGAGAGCTGGGAAGGTTAATTTAAATAACATATGTCTAAAATTCAAGGCTTCTGTTCTCTTCACTTCCAAGAAAGTCCAATTTATAACAGATTAAAGAGCCAGGAAGCAACTGATGCTTTCCAAAAGATCAGAGCTCAAGCTGAGAGTCAAAGGCAGGAATGGGGGAAAGGAGAAAGTGACCAAGAGAAGAAACTCCACTCAGTTCATGGTTGTCGTTTGAAGTTTTGCACTGTCAGCTTTTTCCTATAAGAAAGCTGACAGTACCCAGCCTAGCACAACTGCAATGGACTTTATGGAACACATACCATCAGAAGGCACTATTCAAGGGATGACTGGTTTACTAGACTCTCAGCATATATGCTTCTTATACAGAAGAGGCAAGCAAGACTCAACATCCAGTGGCATAGGATAGGGGTCAAAATGTAGAGAATCCCCTTCAGATGGTCAAGCATGTCATAAAAATCAGGCTTGAGAAAAACCCAAGAATCAGAAGAAAAGCCAAGACACACTTCAGACAGCTAACTCAGAGCTGTTTGGTGGGGTGCCGCAGTAAAGCCAACTTGAGTTTTAATCATGGTGACCAAGGGGAGGCCACAATTCTCTCCACAACCAGTTGATTGACTTACAAAATGAGATTAAAGACTCTTCACCTCATAAATTCACATAGAACAAGTAATGTGGTATTTAGCACATAAGAAGTTCTCAATAACTAGAGGCTCTCCTCATTGCTATGAGTTCACTACACTCACTAATGATCCTTGTGCTTCTAGCTGACGCTGCTTCTGGCTTTTTCCTTTGTTTCCTTACGTGATTATGATCCTGGGTCACAGATATCTCAGGGAAATACTTTTGGACACAGCACATAGTTGCCTTCTGCACACACCCTAATCCAAACACATGGGGCGGAGCTCAGATATAGCAAAATCAGAGAAGTTGAAGAAAGCCGAACCACCCGCTGAGGTTTTCAAATGCATGTGGGACTTGTTCTTTCAGAACTTCAAGTGCATGTTCACCTTTGAGTCACCTCTTTGTGTATGAATGGCCAGTATGTTTCGATCTACATATTGTAGAGAGAAATGAAAATACAATAAAACCTCCAGGGGAGAATAAATTCAACACATTTTCTTTATTACCTACTAGCATTCTGTCTACTGACTAATTGGTGCCGCCAAGTCTGGTAGCCTGCAGCCCTGATCTCCACACTCTAGATTATTAAAGGAACAGGGAATGACTGTCCACTACTCGATGCTTATGTTGCAGGTTCAGGTTAAAGCAAAACCCCTAATCACATGCCATGGCACTGGGCTCATCTGGTTTTAATATCTTCACATCTAGAAATGAAAATCCCAGAGCTAAGATGAAGAAAACCACTCAGGAAGATGATTTGTGGTTCATCTCCCAACATTTCCCAGAATCCTTCATCTACTTGCTTCAGTTCCCTGATTCACCAACTACCTCTTCAGTTCCATTAACTATCAGTGACAGAGTAGAGAAAAACAGGCCAGATAACAGCCCTCATGAGACACACATGCAAGAGGACAAGCCAGCCACCCTAGCAAGCAGAGCAGCCCAGTGGGGCTCGGGGGTCTCAGCCCAGAGGGAAGCATGTAGCAGAATGGTTAAGAGCACAGGCTTCATAGTCAGGTGTGCTACGTTCTCATGCCAGCTTGGTCACTGACTATGTGACCTGGGATGAGTGACATGCCTCATTCCACTTTCTTATCAGACTTTATAGTGCTCAGATGATCAATCAGGGGAGCTGATGTATGCAAGGTAGTGTGTCTTGCACAGTGCCCAAAGACCAGCCCTATGACTAGGAACCACCACTGACACAGTTTGTCAGTGGCACTGCCATGAATGTGCCTCAAGTGTCACCATGGAGCTTTCTCCAAACCTCCACAAATGGACATGTAAAAAGCCACCTTTCTCTTTAGTGAGAAGTCAGACTCCTACTGTTTTAGGTGCTGTACATGCTTCCAAGGGATAGGTATGATGGCCTTTGGCAATTCCTTCAGTTCCAGGAGGAAAAATATAGTCAAGGTCACCCAAAAAGACTTTATCTCTAAAACACCACAGAAATACCTAGACGTGTGCAAATGTTAGGGAGAAGGAAGTTGTGTGGTTTTGTCATCCATGTTTCTTTCCAGTCATACTGAAGGTCATTTCCAAAGGGGCTTCTAGCTTCTCTAAATCTTCAAATACTGGAATCATTTACCTTTTCCTTTTATGGTGGTAATGGACTTAGAATCGCTCCAGTTTCCTATTCCACGACTAGTCACCGCAGCCACCTTTTCAAATCAGAGTGCGAATTAGTATGAAATAAAGGCAAAACACCACACAGCAAGAATTCTGAATGAGCTAAAGGGGTGAGATTTTGGCAGCGAGGGTGAAAAATTATATACAGAGTGTTCTCAGAATATTCAGATTTAATATCCAGCAGCTGATAAAAGAGATGTAAGAGACAAAGGAGAGGAACTTGGATAAAGGTGATTATGACAGTCCTAAATCTCATTTGACTGACTGATGTCAAAGTTCTTCTAAAGGTCATGGGTGTGTACGTTCACATAAAAATCCAAGTTCTATGTCCATACACACACATTAAGAGAATTGGGAAGATTATCGCTGCAAGGGAATCTCTGTAGTGTATATAATTAACAGTCTCATCAAACATGTTTGACACAAAATCTATCTCCTTTCTCTAAAGAGAACATCACAATTGATAGGAATCTCACAAAGTTCGTAAATGCCAGTTATCATAGTTCTGAATCACCCTGCAGCTAAAGATAAACAGAAAAGAGGTAAGTGCAAAAGTTTAGGTGCTAGAAAGCTAATAGGATACTGGGGTTACTAGTAGGTAGAGCTACCTTTACCATAAAGTTGTGGTTACTGGAGGGAAGCCTGATTTCCCCATCAGCACAAGGAGCCGGGTATTTTGTAGACTACTAGTATGTATCTCTTAAAAGTAAGCACAGACTGCTTATAAAATGGGAATCTCTGCGACTGCCCAGATGGATGGAATATATGTGAATACTCACTCTGACAGTGTAGAGAGTGTTGACCAGTAAGTTCCTTATTTCTGTTGCATTACTAGCAGCCCTCTGGGATGCCCACACCTTGGAACCACTCCTGCTATATTCTACCTAAAGTAAGAAGAAAAATATGAGTAAAACATAAGCAGAGATATGGAGCACCCTATAACCTACAAAGAGGCCAGTGAAAAGAGGGGAAGGTGGGGTATGAACTGTTCTCATGGGTGGGTCGTTATCCATCAAAGCACACCCAATGAGTCCCTAGTCATACAAGACACCCAGAAGCCTCTGGCTCTCTGACACTTCAATGACGGGAAGGTACTTACAATGTACTCACGAATGAGACCGTGGGCGTGGGCGGGAGCAGTCCAGTGTCCAGTAATCACACCTTCTGCTTCCCTGTGAAGCGACAGCTGCAGATTTCGAGGGGCGTCTGGCACTGGAAAAAAGTCAGTTCAGACGTCAACTTATCCCTAGATGGAGACAACCTCATCCTAGATATAGAAAAATCTAAGAACTAAGCAAAAAAAAAAAAA